GCAGAGGTTCCACTTCAGATGCCACTCGAAGCTATCGCTGTTCGTCTCTTGTTGCATAAAGCCATAACTGTATGTTCAGTGTATTTTCCACCCTCTCTTTCTCTGAAGCGACAAGATCTCGACTCTCTTTTAAGCCAGCTTCCAGAGCCCTTTCTTTTACTCGGTGATTTTAACGCACATAGTACCCTCTGGGGAAGTGATCATACAGATACACATGGAAAGATAATCGAGTCCATATTATTTTCAGTCATTATGCATTTTTAATACTGGCCATCCTACATATTTTAGTCCTTCATCCTTGTCATCTACATGCATCGATCTTTCTATTGGCAGTGCAAATCTGCTACTTGATTTTTCACGGACTGTTGATCAGAATCCCCATGGAAGTGACCACTTCCCCATTATTTTAAAATGTAACGACACTCCGCAGTCTTCACCTACGCGCCATCCACGCTGGAAGTTTGAAAAAGCAGACTGGAGCCTTTTTAAGCAGTCGTCACTCCTGGCCTGTTCTCGCCTCGATCAGCTTTCGATTGATGAGCTCAGCCATCTTTTAACATCTCACATTCTCACTGCAGCGTCACTCTCAATCCCGCGGTCATCTGGACAGCTCTCGAGACGACCGAAGCCGTGGTGGAATGAAGACTGTAAAGAGAGTCGCAAACAGCAAAACAAAGCTTGGAGTGTTCTACGACGTTATCCAGCTCGGGATAACCTGATATCTTTCCGAAAAATGAAAGCTCGTGCTAGGTACATTCGTCGGAAAGCGAAACGCGAGAGCTGGCAAAAATATGCGTCCTCTATCAATAGTAGTACTTCTTCCAAGGAAGAATGGGACAGGATTCATAAAGTAAATGGCTCATATCATGCTTTCACTATTTCACTTCTTTCCAGAAATGGAAAATGCCCAAGCAATCTTGAAGAGCAGGGCAACATCCTTGGCGAGCATTTTGAATTCATTTCCAGCTCGCAGCATTACTCGCCTGCTTTTCTCCAACATAAAAGGAAAGCTGAAAGTATGGTACTGAAAACATCCGGTGGTGAACGCGAAGCTTATAATGCCCCCTTTACCAGGCTTACACGAACTGAACATGGTGCTCCAAAACTCTAAGTCATCGGCTCCTGGTCCAGATGGTATTCATTATTATATGCTTTAACATCTCCATCCTTCCAGACTTGATATTGTTTTATACCTTTTTAATCGTATTTGGTTCGAGGGCTACTTTCCATTGGACTGGAGAATGGCAACAATCATACCCATACTCAAGCCCGGTAAGGATCCATCCTGTGCGGGTAGTTATAGGCCTATCGCTTTGACTAGCTGCTTTGGAAAGAATCTTGAACGATTAATTAATAGAAGATTGATGTATTTCCTTGAACTAAATAAACATCTAGATGTGAACCAATGCGGCTATCGTTCGTCTCGGTCCACTCTTGATCATTTAGTACGGCTGGAGACAGCCGTGCATGAGGCCTTCGTTCATCGACAACATTGCCTATCTGTATTTTTCGACCTCGAAAAAGCCTACGATACAGCCTGGCGTTTCGGTACTCTGAGGGACTTGTATGATATGGGTATCCGTGGTCGAATGCTTCGTACCATTGAGAGCTACCTGAGCAGGCGCACCTTTCGTGTTCAGATAGGAACAGCTCTATCTAAAGTGTTTGTCCAGGAAAATGGCGTTCCTCAGGGAGGCGTTCTTAGTTTTCTTTTGTTTATGGTCAAAATGAACTCCCTTGCATTGGCTATTCCCCCATCGGTGCAATATTCACTCTATGTAGACGACCTTCAGATCTCTGTGTCGTCTTGCAATCTGTCACTGTGTGAGCGACGAATTCAGCTAACCATCAATAAGCTATTAACCTGGGCCAATCAAAATGGGTTTAAGTTTTCCTCAGATAAAACAGTTTGTGTGTGCTTTTCTCGGAAACGTGGACTACTTCCAGAACCTGTTCTTGCATTAAACATTTCCACAGTTTTTATAAAGCCTGAGCACAAGTTTCTGGGTCTTACATTTGACAGCAAACTAACCTTTGGTGCCCATATTAAGAATCTAAGATTAAAAATTCACAAATCACTTAATATTCTTAAAGTCCTGTCCCACCGATCCTGGGGTTCTGACCGGACGTGCCTTTTGAGGATATATCGCTCGATAGTGCGATCACGACTGGACTATGGCAGTATTGTTTACGGTTCAGCTAAGCCTTCCATTCTAAAAATGCTCGATCCTATCCATCATCTTGGGTTGCGACTGGCAACAGGTGCCTTTCGCACGTCTCCTGTGCCAAGTCTGTATGCAGAGGCCAACAAGCTGTCTCTTGAGAAGAGAAGATTTTCATAGGGCTTCATGTATACCCTGAGAGTCAGGTTCATCTCTGATCACCCTGCGCGAATGGCTGTGGAAGACATGCGCTCTGAAAGGGTGTTTCAAAACAAAGCCACAATTGTGCCTCCCTTCTCTTTGAGATTGAAAAGTGCCAGTGAGAACATGGGACTCGATTGGAGGCCCCCGGTAGTGCAGTCTACTGTTGCGAGAGCACCTTGGGAGCACCCTGTCATTAAGTGTGACCCTTCACTCACATGATACAAGAAAGCTGATACTCCTAATACTGTGTTTCTTCAGGAATTCTTAGCACTGCAAAGTCTATATTCCGAATATGTAAGCTTCTACACAGATGGTACAAAGAAGGAATCTGCTGCTGGGTGTTCCATGATTGGTGCAACAGTTCAACTTGTTAGGCGAATCAACCCCTCTGCTTCTATTTTTACAGCAGAGCTCTATGGTCTACTTCTTACCATAGGCTTCATACTTGATAAAAAGCTCTCTCGCTCCATCATATACACCGACTCCCTCAGTGCATTGCATGCACTGTCTTCACTAACACCCTTCAAGCACTTCCTGTTCCTTGAACTGCGAAATAAGGTTGTTGCTGCCTCAAGACAGGGATACGAAATTGTATTTTGCTGGATTCCCAGCCACGTAGGCATTCCGGGCAATGAGGCAGCAGATCGCGCAGCAAGTGCTTGTGTAAAGCGAACAGTTGACCTCCACAGCATTCCTTATGCAGACTACAAAGGCCTCCTCAGGCATCACGTTAAGTGCAAATGGCAGGCTGAATGGGACCAAGAAATCGGCAACAAGTTACACATGATCAAACCTCTTTTGAGCGAATGGCAGAGTGCATGCCACCAGGAACGCTTTTTTGAGGTTGTCCTTTGCCGGCTCAGGATTGGTCACACTCATCTGACTCATGGTTACCTCCTTCGTGGGGAAGATGCCCCCACTTGTGAGCAGTGTGACAATGCCTTAAGCATTCTTCATATTCTAGTTGAATGTCCTGCTTATCATGAAGAACGGCTTTTGTATTTTTCGCAACTCTATCAAGAACAAGTCCTACTACACCCAGCTCTGCTCTTAAGTGATGATTCTCTTGTGACACATACTAGTGTTTTCAAATTTTTAGATAGTATCGGCCTTCTACACCGATTGTAGCTTTCTTAACCTACAGATCATGCCCATCACCCTTTTACCTTTTGGTACCCCATTACCATCTTTTATCTAATCGCTGGCTACTAAAGCCTCTTTTTTCTCTCTAAACCTTTTCCAGCAATAGTCTCGTTTTTGGCGCTCTATGGCCTTAGTAGCTTTTGCGCCATAAACACCAAATCAACCAATCAACCAACCAACCTGGCAGCATGCTGCGAGTGTAGCAACGCACGCCACACGTGCCAGCATATGCAACACTAACTGTTCTAAAGCAAAAATCAAACACAAAAGGCTTTTTGCACATGCATTCATAGACATCTTATTTCGGTCATTTACTTTGTGTCCTACACGAATAAGGCGAGCACGTGTAACAATCGTACCTACATTCCCCGGTGCTAGGGTAATTTGGCACAAGTCTGATAGGGGGCATTCACTGGATGCCCCCTATCGACCACTATCGACCTTCTCAAATATGGCATTCATGGCTTACAGCGCATTCTCCGAGCTCACATCAACGAGCTCACATCAACGGACTGCCGAGACCGGCGATCTAGATGGTGTGGAATGCACGTCGCAAAAGAACTGCGGAAGCTTGCTGTCGGCACGTGCTCGGCAGTCCTGTGCACAGCCGTGGCCACAGGCGAATGCTCCTTGTAGTAGAAGTGAGCGCTTTCAGCGGCGCAGTCTCGTATTTCGCATTGCTTACGACCCTGGTGACTCTCAAGCTCTGGAGGTCGCGCTTTTAAATCGCAACGATGGCCAATGAACCTTTTGCAAAATCCCCAAAGAATGCGCGCTCCGCGTGACAAATTACGAGAGTCCTCGGTACGCCCCCCACATCGTCGTTTCTCCCGCCACCACGTGACATACGTGAGCAGGCGCAGGCTACCGAGGCAACAAAGCTCCAGCAGTTTACTCAAACGAGCACGCGGATATGGGGCTAGCTTGAGAGGCTGCCCGTCTCTCATCTCTCTCCTTTGCAATGGTGCCATTGTCTGCTAAACCGACGCTTTGTCGAACCTAGACGAACCTTGCCATGGTTGCTGCGCAAAATAAGTGGATTCAGTAACGCTGCGAGACGCGAAGGTAAGTTTTGATGCATCAAGTATTCAAAAAGGTGAATAGCTTCACCTGACGCAACGCGTTTACACTGCCAGGGGTATCCTTTTAGCTTAGGTTCATAACCGCAACCGTGGCTGCTGGCAGTAGCTGCTGCGACTTCAAGCAGTCGCGGAGACGCAATGAGAAAGTGCTCGATTTGTATCAAGGGCTCCCAAAATCCCCTAACGCCGTGGCCCTACACATACTGCAATGGGTCTATTGCTCCTGCTCTGCAACAAACACCATAATGGCAGCACCCACGAGATGATAAGAGAATGAAGTGCCAAGTGTTAAGCACCGCTTAGCGACTTTGGCACGCCTCTCTAGGAGAGACACTCAGCTGCGTATTGGGGTAGACCAACGGCTTGCACTTCCTTCGTTTGGACGGGCGAACAAAACCGGCCGACTCACCTGTAGTCTCCGTAAAACTGCAGCAGGCAATCATTGCCGCAGCCGCAGCCCACATGAAACGCTTTCTTGCACATTTTTATGCAGCATCCCACAGTGGCACCCTGCTTCTTGCAGTAGGCGCACCGCTGCACAAAAGACGGCCGGCAAAGGATACTTCTGTCTCCCGTTGCAACAGCTCCATAAGTTGTAAAAAAAATAGAAGTCGAACTTTATTGGTATCACTGACCCGGACAATCAACTGTCTTTATGAGTGTGCCACAACTCTAGAGAAAGCGTCCAGGAAGTTCAAGGTTAGTTTTTTTTTTTTTTCACTCATGAAAAGATGGAAGGTTAGTGTGCCTCTTTATTATGCAACTCAGCGATCAGCATGAAGATGCAGCCAAGGCCACGGGACACGGAAACGAGAATTGCCCGATTTTAAACAGAGATGCAGCGAGCTTTTTTTTTTAATCCACTGGATTCTGGAGGCTCGACATCGATCCACGGAGCACAGAGAGTCGAGACAGATATCTACGCTTCTGAACGTGCAGTCAAGCGATCCGACACACTCTGAACCTGTCGACCTTAAGGGTTTGAACCGCTTCGAAGCCTCGACTAGTCTACACAGGTCAGCAGCTTTAAGAAAAAACAGAAGCGCATTTTAGCAAATCACAGCTTTTCGTTCGGGGCTTAGCTTAGTGCTCCTGAGCTTTTTGACAACAGCTCGGTCCTCGAAAGGTGTGTGACATTCAAGCTCAAAACTTGCGGAACACGCACCACTTTCGCACCTCTCCGGAGCTCGCTCGTTATGTCTGCCTCCAGAAAACCCATGAGGGGCCCCCCTACATCACCCCTCTGCTGAAGACCACTTGAGAATAACTGCAAAAGAATATCAAAAACAGAGATTAAGACACTTTTTAGTTTATATACAATGCCTCCAGGGCTCACTGCTCTAAACCGCTTCGCAGGTGGTGCCCAGCACCATCGAGGGCACAGGCTCAAGAAGCTGCTTTTGTGCGAGAACTCGTACGAGGACAGCGTAAAGCCTGCACCATTTTCCAGACGCCATCTGCTCTTGTCACCGCTAGCCAAAGCAGGATGTGCCTGTGCAGGGATCAATGCCAAAAGCAGGCAACGAGCACTTGCCAAACTTTTGGCAGTTCCAACGAGGCTTGGTGCAAGCTCGAGCCTGAGACTGTCATCCATTTTTCCCATGCGGAGCAGAGCAAAATGAGGGGTGACAATGTGTGGCTTAGTCTGTTCGCAAGCCCGACTTGGGGCCCCAATCTTACGTTGTTGTGCCGATATTAGCAGACGACGTTCGTAAAATGGAGCCTGCTGTTGCTAGCTTTAGATGCTGCGTTAGCACATATGTATCTAAACAGCAGACACCTCATTGCCATGGTGACCATAGCGGGCTAACTTTATCGCGCGGAAGGAGACGGCAGTGTGGCGAGATTAGGCGTCTGCTTGGGCTCCTTCGTTGGGCAGTTTAATGGGCGGAACATAATCAAAAAGAGTCTGAAATAAGGACTCACTGCAGATGGCCACTTTTCTCTATCGCCTAATACTTTAGAGAGCCTTATACAAAAAGCATGTTTTTCTGGCTACCCGGTAGCCGGTTTGTTTCCCCTGCAATGTGAGGCTATGGTATCAAACTGCCAGAACGAACCCCCCCCCCTTCTTCTTCACAAAAAACAACCATGAAAAACGACAACTTTGAATGGCTGCACCAAGAAAAGAATATTTCACCAACTTGTCTCCATTCTATGTCATGAATAGAATCTCCAAGGACTTTTTTCTTGCTTTTGGTATCATCGATGGTGCTTTGCAATGTGTACTGGTGAGATGGCCAGTACCACACAACACTGGGCATCGGCAAACTGTGAAAAACCGGTTTGAATTGATATTGAATTCTTTCGACTAATTCATCCTCTCGAGTCGGGAGAGGACTTGAGGTGTCGACTTTGCTGGCGTCGTAAAAAATGAAGCTACACTGTCACCCGGATATGTGCCTCACAACACAGCTGTACAGCGCTTCACCCCGCGATGGATTACGGCAAATAGTATGAGCTGTCGAAGCCAGTCCAACATCACGAGAGCGTCACGGCTTCCCGGAGGGACGCAGTGACACGCAGGGCATTCGGTCACGTGGCACGTTCACCGCACTGGATTGGCTGGGACGGCTTCAAGTGACTAAATGGCAAAAATGCACCATCGCCTTTTGCCGCAAACTCCTCATTGGTGGAGAAGGGGTCACCAGCGCCAAATTTGACCACGGCACTTTCGAGGAAGGGGACTAGTGAGGGGTTTGGGACGGGACACCTTTTTGCTCTGCATTCGTGGAACTTAGATATTGTAAAGCAAGTCTGAAGAGCAGAAGGCTCCTTGAACCTCGAGACATCATGTGTGCTGTTTAGACACATGTAATTGCATTCTTTCTTTTTATAATGCAAGCGTCGTTTCAATGTGGTCGTGCACAAGCAGACACCAGAACAACCTACAATGCGGTACGCCTGCCCGTGCGTCGTGGGGTTCCTGCAATACTCGGAGTGAAACAAATCTCAAAACCTTCGCGATGCTCTGCTCCACCAGCAGAGCACAAACAGTTACACTAGGATGGCTCGTAGCATCCGCTGCGGTTCGCTTCAAAGTGAAACGGAGTGTGGATGATGCCTCTAGCGTACCAGTGGGGGGAAATCGCCCTACTGGAAAAGCAATTCTTCACCCGAGGGAGTTCAGGACTGGATGTCGCGCAATGCAACGCCACAGAGTGTGGGCAGTGGCATTACTCACCAGGCAGTAGAAGTGGACAGTGATCTTTCCACTCAGCAACTTGTCGCAGACGACGCTGCTGTCCGCTTTTTTACAGAAGCAGCACACCGCTGTGGGGGTAGAGGAAAAAACAGACTGAGCAAAATGTGCCGACATCCTCAGTTTCTTTCGTTTATTTATTTCGAATTTCTGCCAACTCTTGGCTGCAGAAAGCAGCGAGGTCCGGTCACCTCACACCCACTGATAAGAACTAGCAAATTTAAGATAAGCACAAACATTGAAGGGACCATGGGAACTTTTCTTATGGCACCCCAGCCAGCCCTAAACGAATCGTGGACACCTTGACCGGCATTACACTACATTGTGGAAAGCTCTCGAATGTACCATGAAACAGGAAGGTAAAAAATAAAGAAACACAAATTCCGGTGCCATTTTGAAATTAAAAAGGCACTCAAGTGGATTCTGAAATCATCTATTTATTGTCATAACTTAATCTACGGCTCTAAGCATCCTAAAAATCCCAAAAATACATTCAAGGGGAGCCGATTTCCCTATTAAAATCCAATCAAAGGTCAATGTTCTCAACCGTGGCACAGTACCCCAGGGGTGCTGCCGGATGGGAAGGCAGCAGGCGAGTGCATGCGCCAGCCAATCACGAGTGACAGCTTGCCAGAGGTCAAAGTTTTTGAATGTGTGCATATTCGACGAACTCATTCTAAAAATGTTCATTGAATGTGGTGTCGTCTTATGGAAACTCTTCGACGGACGGCAGATATAAGGTCCACCTCGTACGACGCCTTCTCCTACATGCGACGCCGACGCCTCGAACGTGTTGCAAACTTAGAAGACAGAGTTCCACGACACTGCGAAGTGTCTTCGGCATCGACACCGGACTCCGGAGGCAGAAATATGCACGCGACGACAGAACCCAGCGGCTTGGCAACAGAGACTGAGAGGTGATACACTCTTCATTATGAAAGTCGCATGCATAGTTGATGCCGGTTTTGTTTTAAGGTGCCAATGTAGTTGCTGCATGTCGATGGAGGCCATCGTCACGTGTGTCTACCGCCGAAAGTACCCTGCCGCCATACGCAAGCAGCAGGGCTGGAAAAGCTGCATGACGAGCCACTTGGATTTCGACTTGCTGTGCCTTAATCCGGGTGTGCTACAACTCACATTACATAATATGGGCCACTATGGGCAGAAGAAAATTGGAGCGACAAGGAACAAGTGAATACAACTTACCGATCGCGATACCTGCGATCGGCGTAGACACCGTTCTAAGACTTGGCCCTCGCGTTTCCTGCCGCACGTACGCACGCAATACCTTTCAATAGAAAACACTTGGCGATATACCACTTTTTAATGTTTGCTTTGCATCTCTGCTTTTTTTTTTTGCTGTGCATTTTCGTTTCCTTGCCCATGCCCCCCCAGCTGTGAGTCAAGGATGAGGACTCCAGCGACACAGAGTCTGAGTTGGCTCCGGTTTGTCGGCAGCCGAGATCCTGGCACTCATGGACCGCATGTCCACCGCCCTCGAGTTGGTGACAGAGCATCTAGCACTCATCACGGGCAGGACTGGCGGCCAACAGCAACATGAGCCCAAGCTACGCGGCTCAACGACCACAAGTTCATCGCCGACATCTAGGTGGAGCTGGAAGTCTATGCAAGAGTGTCCAGTGCCTTGGAAGCCTTTGTGCTAAAGCGGATCCTCCCCTTCGCCTTGTCGGCGAGTGCGAGACGATAGTGGGCGTTGCAAACTCTATTTCCATCTCTTGAGGTGTGCCCTGAAGCTTCCAAGGAAAGTTCTTGGCACCCAGGGTACGAGTACCGAGTCCAGCAGGAAATTGAGCATCGCACACAGCACCCAGAAGAAGGCCTTGTGGGGTATATTCGGGTCCTGCAGGAACTGTTCAACCGAGCAGTGCAAGCCGCTCCTGAGTCGGAAAGGCTTACTCGCATTGTTCATCAGTCACCCCTGTTACAATATGTATCTTCATGAGTGCAACTACGACGCCATTGAAGACCTTGTGTATGTAGTGACCGAATTAATTACCACCGCTAGGAGGGTGTCGCGTGTTTTGTCTTTTTTGTCTCACACATTGGGTACGAAAACAAAGTTTTCCTACCCAATGAGGACGAGCTGCGGGCGATAAATGATTACCCGCAGCCACAAGACGTCAAGAGCTTGCAACCATTTTTAGGATTAATTGGATGTTATCGCCTGCTCATCCCACACTGTGCCGAGATAGCCAACCCTTTGCATTCGCTTGTGCGCAAAGAAAATTGGTATTGAAAAGAGAGCAATACGATGCTTTCTCAACAGAACAGATATCTGGGCTAGTTGGTATGTATACACAATATAAAAAATGTGACTGACAAGGACGAAGAAAGACTAAATGACACGAGTGCTGACTGACAACTGATGGTCTTATTTTCATGAAACCAAGAAGAAAAAAACAAAACAAAAAAGACCCTCTACTCAAGAAGCAATCGCGATCGTGCACCAGTCTTTTTTAGCGCCTTCACAAAAATTTTGCCAAATCAATGACGTAGTGAACACCTCTCACCCCGATCTAAAAATTCTATCTCGCTATCTAAGAACGCCAAGGATGCCCGACTCACACAGGTTGGGCCTGCCTTTCTTATATTGAGAGCCTAGACAATCTTCTCGTCTTTGACCAAATAACACGACAGTCTTCTCCAGTACAGGCTGGCAGGAGCAGTCTCCAGCTGCAATGCAATGCCAAGTGGCAGCACGCTGTCCTCGCTAAAGAGCTACGATACTCACGCAGGCGAACACTAAGAAACCGGCCCGTCTGGCTGATGTATACCGTTCCGACTTCTCTCAACTCTCGAAGGCAGTCACCGACTCCACTTCGCTCATTTCCGGAACACTTTAAACCATTTGTTGTTCAGACAGATGCCAGCAACTCTGGCCTTGGTGCAGTCCTCCTTCAGGAACACAACGGTGTTCTCCGGTCAGTTGCCTTCACCAGCTGCATGTTGACAGTGGCCAAACACTACTATTGCACAATAAAAAAGAAGTGTCTTGCCATTATGTTTGCCCTCACAAAATTTAACATGTACCTTGATGGCACATCATCTCAGATCCAGATCGATCAAGTGCTTCCCTGGCTGAAGAATTTGCACACTCCAGTCGGACACCTCACACAATGGGCTCCAACATTACAGGCATACCGCTAAGCCACTACATACAAAAAAGGAGTTACATCGTGGCAGATCACTCCCTTGGGCTCCTTTGCAGATCCTTCCCACTCGGGATAAACCACTGGTGGGAATAACTGGCACTATGGCTGAGACACCAGTCACGGTGGGGGACGTTGGTCATTCGAGCAGAACTTCGCAAGGCACATTGGGAGGACGAACTTTGTCTACGGGTGTGCGAGAAGCTTGGAGAACAAAGGGCAGGCCGCACCAAGAGCGACTATGGGTATGACTCATACTTGCTGAGAGAGAATGGACTTCTCAGCTACATTGTCCAAGCAGATGACGATGCCGATATATCGCCTTTGAGGATCGCGATGCCTCGGAAACTTCGAACACCGTTCATGTCACTTCTACGATTCAGCCTTATTAGGTCACAACAGCGGCAGTATGACGTACAATAAGTTACGTCGTGTCGAGACTTGACCAGGAATCAGGCAGGACCTACTGAGGTATGCCCACGTGGAGGTCCCCCACCAGGATTAATGTAGCTAATCATAAGCCACTCTCTTTGGCAGATTGTAGCCTGCGACATAATGGAATCGTTTCCCCAGGATCCACGTGGTAATCGGCATCTTCCTGTCGTGACTGCTCAGCTTCTTTCGCAAAGAATCTGGGATTGCCTTTTCGCTGTCCTTACCAGATTCGGCTTCCTTGCAGAGCTCATCATGAATGATGGATGGTGCGTCATACTTCCAGAGCAAGGTGGTCGTCAACATCTGTGCTGCACTTGGCATACAGTACAAGTACAAGCTCACTGCTCTGCAGTGCTTAGTCTGATGTGTCAACCAGTTGTTTGTTGGCAGATGCATCATATGCACAGCATATGCACATACAGTTAAGCCTCGATGTAACGAAGTCGGTAAAATTCGCAATTTACTTCGTTACATTGAAATTTCGCTAAATCGAAATTTGGCTTTAGCATGCAAAAAAAAATTCCGAAACATTTTATGGGTATGAAAACTCACCGAAAATGACATTTATTTAGGGGCAAAGTAGTCCGCGAGTTTTGCTTGCGCCTTGTCCGACATAAAGCCCCTGTCCGACAGTAGCAGCTGTGTCATACCGGTCATACAGCGTTCGAGTGCCCAGAGCGCTTGCACGGCATCTTGCTGCCCATGCGACGCCGTGTACCTCCTCAGTACGTCCATTCCGTCGAGCACTTCCCGAGTGCTCGTAATCTCGGTAGTTTCTTCAGGATGGCATCCAAAAATCCAAAACGTTTGCTTTCACATCCAAAGACAGAACTTTACGTTTCCCTATGGCAGCAAGCACGTGAGTGAACCGCCCGGTTGAAAAATAAAGCTGTTTAGTTTAGACCACGGTGTAGTTTAGGTTTAGGTAGTGCCAATGTTTCCAACCTACACAGCACTCTTGGTCTTGATCGCAGTTTACTTGCCCCCTTGCGCCCACAGTGTGCTTGCGCCTTTGCTTTACATCACGCTCGCAAGACGATAATCGGTCTTCTCGGTCTTCTCCTAGATGGCACTGCCCGTGCGGTCGCGCCATCAGGTCGCTCCCCCGCTGAAGTTGGCTCCCGCGCTACCCGCGGTACAGTGGACTATGATGATCATAGTCCACTGGGATGATCAGTGAATGTCAGTGGTGATGCTGTTATGCCGTGTAAACTTTTTGCTCGGCATTTTCTGGCCAGCCCCGCAGAATCCGCTTTGCCCCACGCCTCGCCAGCGCTACCGGCGCCGCATCCTCGGGCAGCCTAGGAACGTTGGAAGGCCTGTCCCCGTGAAGTAACCTATCAAGCGCTCGCGTTTGCGCATAATTTTTTTTTTTAACCACAATTTTTTTGCGAAGTTGTTTTTTAGAGATTATTTATTTATTGCCTTCTATGGCAATGGCGCTTCGTTATATTGAAATAGCAGCA